TGGTTGGATTCTAAAGCCATCAAAAGAATCAACTTTGTGATTTACTGCTACAATTAATAATTGTCTCAGTAAATGCCCAAACCCTACAAGGGCAATAGACAAGTCTGGTATTCATCTTGAGTCTTTCCTGCACTTCAAGGACATTTACTCACTTTACAAGCCACCTACATGGAGCCTCTTGTTCCCAGCTTTCACATACAGAGCCTCCTGCTCCCTGGTCTTTTTGGACTCGTCTTTCTAGGAGCCTTTTGCACTTCTGCTTTAACTCTCCCTCAATAATAGATACTGGTTCTCTCACTGCCAGTCAGCCCTTAGTCTTCCAGGTCTGCTTTCCAGCCATGTATGTATCTATTTGATGCCACCAGGCCAGGTCTCACACAACACTCATATCAATTTTCAACACCCCTTTAAACCCTTTACTTTTTTCAGTTTGTTAAATTATATTGAAAGTATTCAATAATTAACTGTATTTAGGATTTAAATTTGTTTCTTTCCTACTTTCAGACTGTAAATACACAACTACCAATAAAGAAGAAACTATCTGCACTGAAAGTACAATCAATAGTAAATTAATTGCTTCACAAACACAATGAGCCTTAAAAACACAAAAAATGTGCTTGATTCTGCCATTCATTTATTTATTATCAACATTTCAACATGTCTTTTCTGTACCTGATTCTCTGGCTGATAGCACAAGCTCCCACATATGTTTTCATTTATTAGGCATTCTACATATAAGCACTGCCTTCCATTTTGTGCTGCTTGCACCATCAGTGACTGTTCACAGGATTGCACTTTCCTCCTCCTCACTTCGTAACCCAGGATGATGCCGTTGGGTCGTCCTGGTGATGTCCAGTCCACCTGGAGAGATCTAGAAGCAGACACACAGGAGGATTCTGAACAAACACAAAGCAAGCAATGTGCTTTCAGTATCTCCCACCAAGCATTTTACATGGCAAAAATCATGCCCAGGTTCATACCATCACATTAACTTCTTTTAGATATATGTCTCTGCTTTGCAGTGCAACAACAATGCTTTTGTTTATAGTTACATATCTTGTAAACTGGCATATGGGCACAACGTAAGGCTCAAAGGAGTGAAGCAAAGATGGCAGCAATAGCACACAAAAGCAACACCATTTTTCTGTAATGAAACATTTTGTTGGGAGACTGTCCTAAAGAAATAAAATGTGATAAAACGAGTATAACAGTCAGTAATGACATTTACTGCAGATTAATTAATTGCCCCTAAGAGTTATAACCAACATAGAGCATTATTTATGTTTAATTCAAAAACTGAAAAGCAGCATGAATGCGCATTGTAAAAAAAATTACACTTCTATTCTTTTGTAGTATAATTCATAGTTTTGAAGCATATATCTTGCAGAGAGCCCTCAAAGATACTGTAAATCATTAATACTGGCTGTTTTACAATACCCAACTCACGCGTAGCTCCATTAAAATTTAGGAATATTACAGAAAGGCAGGTAATACCCTTCAGCATTATACACAGCTTTTCCATTACAAGAGCCAAGACCTCTATGTTCTCCATTAATATAGTAAGATGCTTTTGGTCATGATTTAAGGAGCTTGTTTGAATTTTACTCATTATTTATGTCTTCTAATTACATTGTTTTTACATGCTGAGTACTCCAGCAGAACGTCATTCAGTAAATTGTCCTCAATATGCTCATGTCACAGCTTTTTGTGACAAGAGAGTGTATAAGTTATGCCAGGGATGACTTACTTGCCAGAGCCCCATTGAACATTTGGGTTGAACTGGGACCAAGTGTAGCATCAAGGGCTCAGAGACCACTGAATAGCAACATAAATGCCGAGGAACTTGCCTTGTATAAGAGAGATGGGACAGATAGTGCTAAGAATGCATTACAAATGTACAGCTTAGAGACACATGACTAGCCTGTGAATTTAATTTTGGACCCCCAGATGATGAAAAATTATGTACTGTACATTTTCAATAAGATGTCAATATGCCTTCTACAAAATATTCAGTTTTGTTTCTGAAAACGATGTGAATTTATTGCATCTATAAGAGATAACTTTCTTTTGAGACTCAATAAACAATTTATGTTATGTCTGTAAATCTCCTGGGTAGATGTTTAAGGTTCCTTAATTAATTTATGTTGGTTCTACTATTTTAAGAATCTGTTCCATTCTCAATTACTTTGATTTTTAAAGCTCCACGATGAGTTAAATGCAAATGTTTTCTTTGTCTGATTATGAATTCACGAAGAGTGACAAGGTTTCCCTTTAAATAAGAAGAGTGAATCATTTGAAGATAACCACATGCCTTTAATACACAAAATATCACTCATGATTACTCATAAAGTGTGTTCCTATAACAAATGCATTAGTATTATTTCACAAAAGGTGTCATTTCTGTCTGAAACTAATTCCTCACCAATAAAAATTGCAGAAATTCATATTCTACATAGGACCAAGTAAAGCCATCAGCTGCGGCACTTGTCATATTTCAATCAAAGCTTAAGCCATGCAGTGATTTTTTTGTACTCAGTCCCACATAGCAGAGGACCAGAATTAATGAATTAGCTATTGATTAAATTCCACTCTAGCAAATCTACCGTGGCAAATAAATGAACTGTTCAGGGCACATGTAGGCCACGGCCAGACATGTCAGGGCAATCGATCAGTAGTTAGTATTCTATTGGGATATAAGTACAGCAGATGATAATATGACATGCTGGGAAAAGACAATGCAAAAGCAGAGCTCTTCTCTGACTATATGGATTATGTCAAATTAGAGCACAGAGGCATTGTCCTCACTTTGGAGATTTTTTCCATTCACAACTTCACACAAGGCTCTGTCAGCATCAGTAGAAGAAATTGTGGCACAGACTAAATAGACTGCCTTTCTGCAGGAAAAATACACAATGCATAAAATCTGTACGTGTACATACTGTATGTGTGTGTATAAAAAGATTACTAAAAAACAGGCTTGTGCCAGCTGATGGAAGATGTGGCAGGGATCTTTCCAACATTTTTACTGCTGTACTAGGAAGACAGAATGAAAGAATTCTCAACTATGAAACTCTACCAGGATGTTGGCAGAATGAAATGTACAGTATAAGGATCCTTGATTGAAATAAACATTTTCTAAACCACAACCAGAGCTCAAACAATACATGAAAGTATAATAGCTGATAGGTTTTCCTAATATAATTAAGAAATAGAACAGGGTCAAAGTAAGTTTACCATAAGTAAACTTGTGTGGGCCAAGAACTTCCTGGCTTTTGGGCATTTAGTGACTAATGTCAGTTGATTGGTGGCTCCTAGTTTGTAGTGACATCATAGAAAGACCCGTCCCTCCTCCACTGAGCACTAATCCTCCTATAAAGCACTTAGGAGCTTGAAGAATGTAAAAAGATGATTGACACTGAAATGTTGAATGTTGGAGGAGTGTATCTGCAGGCCCTTCTTATTCTCCCCTTGCAGTAGTGAAGTCACACAGTAGCTTAAAGAGTCTTAAAATTCTTCCAGGCTCAAACTGGGTGGAAGTTCCATTTTTTTAATATAATTTTGATTCCTTTTCTAGAAAGATAAGTTTAAATGTCTTAGGAAAAGCAATTTTAATCATCCCAAGTTCTCAAAGCACACAGATACAGTACACTTGCCTTTTTGGACTACATAATTAGATTCTACGAAAAATTATATTTAAAAAAATAATAATTCTCACTACATTCATCATTTTTATTTGTATCCATGTGTATAATGGGTACGGTCACTTCAATTTCCATTTCTTTCCATGAAAGCTGGCATTAACCATCATGCGATCTACTAGCATAAACAAAATGTGTTTATTTATTTAAAGTCTGTTAACTCATGACAGTTAAGAGTTAACTGTTCCAATGTTGTAATGACAAATAAAAATCGGTTGACGTAATCAATAGATGTTGAGTGTCTGTTCCATTAAAAAAATGCCCCTTGGATCAGTTATTAGAACCAAAGGTATGGAGCACTTACAGTATTTTGCAGCTGAGATAGTTAACTCTACACATTGGCTAGCGCATACTATGATCCAGAGACTGCCAGTTCAAATCTCAAAGTAACTGGCGGAGTGCTGTCACCAAAAGACTTCAAAAGCTCACTATGAAACAGTGATCCTTGTAGTTGCACTTTAGTGTTACCATTAAGAACCTTGTAAATTTTCTTACCTTGAACTAATGGTCTGTATGTACGGTACTGCCATTTCATCAGGTTCATCTTCCACTGTGGTTATCTGTGTTCCATTGCTTTTCACACAGGCATAGACAGTACACACCTCCACCTGATTGAAGAGCCAGGACAGAGAGGATATAACACAGTGTCATACTGAGTCTACTTAATTTTTATATGTTCATACTTCAGTGTGTAGTACATCTGTTTCTTTGATAACAGCAACAACAACAATAAACAAAAACACATAATAGTTGATAAATAATTTTCTTACTACATTTCTGAGACAATGTTTTAAGATTAAAATCTCCAATAGGTGAAAAAGGTGTGAAAAAGTTTAAATCTTACAGATTAGCAAGAGACAATTGCAGAATGTCCTACAGCAGTTTGTCGAGAGGCAAATGTTGAGACCTGAGACTGGAAATGTTCAGAAATGTCATACTTTTAAATGCTATGATAAATACAGTATGTATTTTTTTTTTAATTTTATAGTGTCACATTTTGTACTGAAAACGTCCTTTTTTTGATGAGCAATTTTGTAATTTAAAGTATGTTTTAGAAAGTTTTTTTTAGAAACTTTAGAATGTTCATTACACCTGAATGAGATTTCTTTTGTGTTTTTGTGTATTCATTGTAAGACAAAAAGAGAAAGCATACTGTGAAAATGAATAACACAAATTAATATGGTAACTTTAACAACATTTATTTGTCCTTTCTGTCTTTTATTGTATGTTTTTCTTTTATGTCTAAATTGTATATAGACAGTCAAACCTGTATGGTATATACGGTGAAAGGCAAGAGGTCCCCAAGTACAAATGTTCCAGGTAAGTCCATGCCAGTCTTGTACTGCTTGTTGTCGATGTACACATTATACTCTGTCACCACACCATTCGACTTCAAGGGAGCAGTCCAGATTATCCGAACAGCTGTGCTGTTGATGGTAACCACCTCAGGAGGGAAAACCCCCTCTGGTTCTGGAAATGAGAGTGGAAACAAATAGTAAACTCCAGGTTTCTTTACAGAGTGTACTATCCTAACTACAAGTAGTCCATCTTAAAATGAAGTTAAAGATTTTCCCAATGCTTTTAATTTACTTAATCTCACAATAGTTAGACAACATGCCTCAGTCTCAGAAAACTGTGGACCTCCTGCCCCTGACGAATACAGGCTTATGACTGATATACTATAGTAGAGGATGACCTTTCATTCAAAATCAAATAAAAGGTAGTTCATACAGTATTCTGAGGTGAAAAGATCTTTAAAATATCTCAATGCATATTTAAAATATCTTTATAAAGGTATTTAAAATATTTGGATATTTATTATTTAACATCTCTACTTCAAGGAAGAATCAGAATTATTTTTCTCTGTACCTTTGTGAAAAAAGAGAAAAGAAAATACATTTTTAAAGTAAAGGAGCAGTTGAAGGGATATCTCACTTGGAAAGACAGATTGCTAATGTGGGACCCCCACCCACACTCCCCAGCAGAACGCCAATGTTCGTCACCCACCTCAGCACTGTAGTTATCATTATACTATCTGAATACTGTCAATAAGGTAGTGGATTGGTTAGTGCTAGTTCTTAACACGTTACAATATAGTGCACAGCAATCCTTTAAGCAAAATAGTTTATTTCTCTATTTTCTTTTGAGAAAGCTGCAGAACAACTCTTAATGTACTCCACATTGTAACCCATTATTTTCTCAGCTGCTGCATTCCCAGTAGGGAGGGTTTGGGCAAATTGAATTATTTTTGACAGAGCACTGGGGGCTCTCACCAGGCTGCACTGTAATTGAGCCAGGGCATCAGGGTTAACAGCCCCCGTCTTCTCAGAAAGAGAGCCAAGGGATTTTTAATGTACAAACTCTCTTCACTTACCGAAGCTCGACTCACCATCTCATCTTAAGTTTGACGCCTCAGACTGGTCATGGCTAATTTCCCGTCAACAGGGAAAAAAAACGCCTTTTGCAGAAGTGAGCTTTTTCTGTAGTCTTTAAGACTATATTTTCAATCGATTCTAACTTAATCCTCTAGGAAGTTAGCACTTAAATTGCACTACAGCTATGAACACATATTTTAACATTTAAAATAAGGTGCTGGTGTTTTTTGTGTGTTTTGCCTTACACAGTACATTAAAATACAACTCTTCACAGAAAAGCACCCTGCATTGGCTCTACAGTGCTGAACAGCAGAATGTTGTGCAGCAATTTTGCTAAAAGACCATATACACACAAATTTTACACAAAACAAAACTTTGTCATGGATAGAGAACATTACGAGCTGAAAATGCTCTAATGAATATTCATTTGTGCTCTGGGTTGCATTAGGTAAACAGGTCCCACAGGGTAAATTGCGTTCTTATGCTCACTCAGAAGAAGCAAACAAGAACAAAAAGCTTTTTATTGAAAATTCATAATATAGACTTTGATTAATATAGTTGTCATGAAAGCTCACATTTATAAATCCTTGTGGGAAACTACCATTCTTTCATACATTATATCACACTTTTTAGGATTTCGACATCTTCATAAGATTTAGAAAATCACATTTGCAATACTGTACATTGTACCGTAGACATTTTTAAAATGTTGAGCAAAGACTACATTTATCTGAATAATGCCTCTTTCCTTCAGGCTAACCAAGCACTAATTGTTTAATGTGATACTTTTCACACATATAAATAATTGGAAACAAAGCTTTATTAAAGTCTTTACTTATAAGAAAGTTCTTCAAGGAAAACCGTTAGGGTACCTTGTGTAAACCCATACTGAGATAATAACAAGTGAAGCTTCTGTAGACTACCTCTTTGTTCTTCTAGTAGTAATACATTAAAAGTAGTATAGGTAAATATAACAGGTAAATATAACACTATAACACTATTGCAGCAAGGCTAGTATTTATTCTTAGAACTAAATGTTCAGAAATAGTATTATAATGATAATCTTTCTTTTGGCTTGGGCAGATAAAATGCCCACCATAGACCACTATACCTGACACCATCACTAATCACCAATCACAAAGCAACATAAAATTCTCTTTGTGGTTTTTAGTGGTCATGACTATGACCTCCACTGTGTACATCAAAATTGAAACAACTAAGCTACTGGGTTTAGAGACCATACAGAATTTTGTCCAAGAATTCCTCTGCAAAAGAATATTTTTTGTGATGAGCTCCCAATTGTAGTTTCACCTAATCAGGGAAACAGCTGTTTTAGCCAATACCGCTGAATATTAAAGAATATTCAGAGCAGCAGCTACAAATGCAGGGTAAGGAGACTTTCTACGTTTCTGCCCATCTAGATCTCATTCAAAGTTGGACTTAAGTCCTAAGACTTTGTGCACTTTCCATTGGAGAAGTTGACAAGGATTGGATAGCTGTGGCTATATCCAGCTATTCCTCTCCTTGCTGGGCTTTTAAAATCTCATCATCTGGACAGCGCCTTGCAGTGTCTAATTCTGATCAGTATACATTCAAGTTCATATTCCAACCCTCAATAATTAAGCATTATTCCAAACAAGTATTTGTCTGACAAAGACTAGTTCAGAAAATTATTTGTGTTTGTGTGAGAGTAATTATTTAGCTGACTACACTAACCTAAGTGTTAAATCCAATGTATTCTAACCCTGTTATTAGTGTCTTTGTAATCCCTGAGAGACTGATCATCAATTTGCTTTACATATAAATGTATTCTTGTATTTGTTTATTTTGAATGTTCTATTTTTGACTTAATATTGTATTGTTGGAACCTGTGTGCATATGTTACCATTGGTCTCATTGATTTCTAGCAGCCATAAGGAACTCTCTGAATTTACTGTCCCAAGTTCTAATTGTTTCAGTAAATTCAAAACACTACAGCGCCTTGCACTTTTACTGATGTCAGCTACAGTAAAAGCAATCTTCAGCAGAATTCAATCCCTATATTATTCCGTATACAATAATAAATCTGTTTTTTTTTTCCAACCAAGGTGGTGCAGAATCCTCATTAGTTTTGTACATCAGAAATTGTGAATCATTTAATTTAAATGTACTCTACATATATTCTTTTTGTAATACTGTTTTCAATGCAAGACTTAACACTGAATATTGCGCTCATGGTTTGCTTTTTTAATTAGCACTGTTAACATATATATTGTAAAGTACCCAAAGATGATCTTTAAGTTCAACTGCAGTTGTTAAACCATACTGCCCTTTAGGCTGAAAGATAATGAAATTACCCCTGAAAGCACTTTGTTAAATGACCTGTAACCTTTATTTAGGAGGTAATGATTTTCTAATGTTTTTAATGCAATTTTTATTATGTGTATAAGATTAAACAGTGAAGTTTAAGTACATTTCTGAGTTGCCAGCTGTTTCTTGATGCAAATGTCAATTAATTAAAAGTGAATGTAATTAAGCCATTCACTTTCTTGAGGAAACCCAAAACTCTGTTAAAATGTACAAACAGTTTCCCAGAAACTTCGAGGTAAAAACAGTTTGATGCATATCATTCATGTACAGAAATGTATTAATGAATTTTGAAGAAACCATGAATTTTACTACAAATAGAAACTCCAGTGAAAAGCTGAAAACTCCAGCAAAAAATAATGTATCGTACAGTACCAAGCAAGGCAATTGAAAAAGTTCTAGACATGAAATTTGTAAATATTGAAGTTAACCACAGTTCTCTGAATAGTAACTATGTTTTGACCTGGTCTGTAAATTTTGCATGTTCTCCTGTGTTTTTGAAATTCAAACAATATTATTACATATTCCTATTTTCGTAATTAGTTATCAGTATATTTATATCTATTATTATTTTTTATGTATTATTTTAATATGTAGTACCACAGGGACTAAGTTTTAGCAGTCAGAACTTATCAAAGCTAATATAAAAGAAAAAAAATCCACACATTTTAAATAGCTATATTTTTAAAAAATCCTAATCTTTGCAGATATTGTACTTGTACATTCTGCCACAACTCCTGTACTGCCATCAAATTCCATTACAGTGTTAAACACTTTGTCAATTCCTTTCTACAGGAATTGTACTCCCTACTATTTTATTAAACTTTTTTGTCAATGTATTCAACCAAACAATTGAATACCTGAACTATACAAAACAAACCCGGAAGAACCAGTTTCCAGCTGATCAGATTCTTTATTTAACCTCAGCAACACCCACGCGCCTCTGAATGCTTATTTCTTTCACTAGATAAGAAAGGTTGCAAATGAAAGTAGATCATTTAGACAATTTGATTTGACCGGTAATTAGAAATTAGATAAGTCAATTCCAAATTTCATACTTTACAGCCATTTCCTGAATGAGCCCACCTTAATGGGCTACTAGTGCCAGACACCCACAACATTTTCCTGTTCTCCATCCTGGATTAATTGCCATTCACAGTGGTTTCCATTTATTACCTAATGTCCTTGCTTCACTGCTGATTCTGCAATCATCCCCTGGGTTGACACTATCTATACCCTTTTAGGTTTTACACAAATGGATCCTCTCAACCCCCTTTGTTCTAGACTGAAGAGATTTAATTCCTTTAACCCATCTGTTTATGACAATCCCCAGAGACCAGGATTTTTCCTTGTTGTTCTTCTTTGTCCTCCTTCTAGGGCTGTAATAGTTTCTTATGAGGTATGGTGACAAAACTGACCAGTTTTGTAAATAAGCTCTTATTACTACCATGTAATTAATCAGGATTTCTCTTTGTTTATAGTAAATTCCACACTATTTGCTATATATTGTTCTCAGATTGCGTTGTCATGATGGCCCGACAGAGGTGCCTAAATGAACATTTCCTTTCATGGGTATTAAACAGCTCAGAATCACCGATGAGATTCTGTAGGGTACATATGCAGCCACTCATGATGCACATTATTTCTTCCAAATGTGGTACATGTAACATGGCGCATAGCATTTACTGGCCAAAGATGATCGATAGGTCGCACATGTGGTGCTTTTGATATTAGTAAAATGATTGCTTC